CTTTAAGAACCATCATTATAATTCGGTCTGCTAGGTTTCAAGGCTATCAACTACACGAGGGCCATTAAGGTTACATGTCACCTGTATACCACCAGTCAAGATTATTACAGTTTAGTTAATGGAGATTAAATTTACAGTGTGTATATACTGAGATATATATACACAGACACCTTTCAGGGTATATAGATGAGAATATACAAATCCGAGTGTATATTCACTGAGAAATATACACCTTGTGTGAGTTAGACTTGCCTAGCATGGGCCAGTAGACGTACGGTAGTGCTCCTTCGTTCTCATGTTCTACTGTTTTCTAGTTCTCAATGTTTTCATGTTCTCATTTTCGCTTATATTTACGTTCTCGTGTTCTGGTGTTTTTACGTTTTCATATTCCTACATTTTTCGTGTTTTTGCGTTCTCATAATCTCACGTTCTCATATTCTCACGTTCTCATATTCTCACGTTCTCATATTCTCACGTTCTCATATCCTCACGTTCTCATAATCTCACGTTCTCATATTCTCAAGTTCTCATATTCTCACGTTCTCATATTCTCACGTTCTCATAATCTCACGTTCTCATATTCTCACGTTCTCATATTCTCACGTTCTCATATTCTCACGTTCTCATAATCTCACGTTCTCATAATCTCACGTTCTCATATTCTCACGTTCTCATATTCTCACGTTCTCATAATCTCACGTTCTCATAATCTCACGTTCTCATATTCTCACGTTCTCATATTCTCACGTTCTCATAATCTCACGTTCTCATAATCTCACGTTCTCATATTCTTACGTTCTTATAATCTCACGTTCTCATATTCTCACGTTCTCATATTCTCACGTTCTCATATTCTCACGTTCTCATATTCTCACGTTCTCATATTCTCACGTTCTCGTATTCTCACGTTCTTATATTCTTATTTTCTCATAATCTCACGTTCTCATATTCTCACGTTCTCATATTCTCACGTTCTCATATTCTTACGTTCTCATATTCTTACGTTCTCATATTCTCACGTTCTCATATTCTCACGTTCTCATACAGTCACGTTCTCATATTCTCACGTTCTCATATTCTCACGTTCTCATATTCTCACGTTCTCATATTCTCACGTTCTCATATTCTCACGTTCTCATATTCTCACGTTCTCATATTCTCACTTTCTCATATTCTTACGTTCTAATATTCTCACGTTCTCATATTCTCACGTTCTCATATTCTCACGTTCTCATATTCTCAAGTTCTCATATTCTCACGTTCTCATATTCTCACGTTCTCATATTCTCACGTTCTCATATTCTTACGTTCTCATATTCTCACGTTATCATATTCTCACGTTCTCATATTCTCACGTTCTCATATTCTCACGTTCTCATATTCTTACGTTCTCATATTCTCACGTTCTCATATTCTTACGTTCTCATATTCTTACGTTCTCATATTCTCACGTTCTCATATTCTTACGTTCTCATATTCTTACGTTCTAATATTCTCACGTTCTCATATTCTCACGTTCTCATATTCTCACGTTCTCATATTCTCACGTTCTCATATTCTCACGTTCTCATATTCTCACGTTCTCATATTCTTACGTTCTCATATTCTCACGTTCTCATATTCTCACGTTCTCATATTCTTACGTTCTCATGTTCTCACGTTCTCATATTCTCACGTTCTCATATTCTCACGTTCTCATATTCTCACGTTCTCATATTCTTACGTTCTCATATTCTTACGTTCTCATATTCTCACGTTCTCATATTCTCACGTTCTCATATTCTCACGTTCTCGTATTCTTACGTTCTCATATTCTTACGTTCTCATATTCTCACGTTCTCATATTCTCACGTTCTCATATTCTTACGTTCTCATATTCTCACGTTCTCTTGTTCTCACGTTCTCATATTCTCACGTTCTCATGTTCTCACGTTCTCATATTCTCACGTTCTCATGTTCTCACGTTCTCATATTCTCACGTTCTCATGTTCTCACGTTCTCATATTCTCACGTTCTCATATTCTTACGTTCTCATATTCTCACGTTCTAATACTGTGACGTTCATCTCTCCACTACGATCATCTTACGTTCATCTCTCCACTACGATCATCTTACGTTCATCTCTACACTACGATCATCTTACGTTCATCTCTCCACTACGATCATCTTACGTTCATCTCTCCACTACGATCATTCTTACGTTCATCTCTCCACTACGATCATCTTACGTTCATCTCTCCACTACGATCATATTACGTTCATCTCTCCACTACGATCATCTTACGTTCATCTCTCCACTACGATCATCTTACGTTCATCTCTCCACTACGATCATATTACGTTCATCTCTCCACTACGATCATCTTACGTTCATCTCTCCACTACGATCATCTTACGTTCATCTCTCCACTACGATCATCTTACGTTCATCTCTCCACTACGATCATCTTACGTTCCTTGCTGTGCTTCTTATTTCCTCGTCTTACTTAAACACAAATATTAATTTTCCTTTTTTTTGAAAACTTCAATGTAAATAATTCACCGGATAAATAAATAATTTATATTTCTTTAAAAAATTTATTATATAATTAATATATTATAGTGCCAAGTAAGACACATATAACGAAAGACACATTAAAGATTATATATATATATATATATATATATATATATATATATTATATATATATATATATATATATATATATATATATATATATTTATATATATATATAATATATTTATATATATATATATATATATATATATATATATATATATATATAATATATATATATATATATATATATATATATATATATATATATATATATATATATTTATATATATATATATATATATATATATATATAATATATATATTTATATATATATATATATATATATATATATATTATATATATTATATATATTATATATATATTTATATATATAATATATAAGAGAAAATGCAGAACGTCATTGCTTGCATGATGCAATTTAGGTTATCAAAAATGGCAACGAGAACTTAACATCTGCAAAAGTGTGGGATGAAAGGGAAGACAAAGACAGGAGAGGGGAAGAAGTAGAGTAAGGAAAGAAGGAAGAAAGAAGGAAGGATTGAAGGAAGGAAGGATTGAAGGAAGGATTGAAGGAAGGATTGAAGGAAGGAAGGAAGGAAGGAAGGATGGATGGAAGGATTGAAGGAAGGATTGAAGGAAGGATTGAAGGTTTGAAGGAAGGAAGGAAGGAAGGAAGGAAGGAAGGAAGGAAGGATGGAAGGATTGAAGGAAGGATTGAAGGAAGGATTGAAGGTTTGAAGGAAGGAAGGAAGGAAGGAATGATTGAAGGAAGGATTAAAGGAAGGATTGAAGGAAGGAAGGAAGGAAGGAAGGAAGGAAGGAAGGAAGGAAGGAAGGATGGATGGATGGAAGGATTGAAGGAAGGATTGAAGGAAGGATTGAAGGTTTGAAGGAAGGAGGAAGGAAGGAAGGAAGAAGGAAGGTTGGAAGGATTGAAGGAAGGATTGAAGGAAGGATTGAAGGTTTGAAGGAAGGAAGGAAGGAAGGAAGGATTGAAGGAAGGATTAAAGGAAGGATTGAAGGAAGGAAGGAAGGAAGGAAGAAGAAAGAAGGAAGGAAGGAAGGAAGGAAGGAAGGAAGGAAGGATTGAAGGAAGGATTAAAGGAAGGATTGAAGGAAGGAAGGATTAAAGGAAGGATTGAAGGAAGGAAGGAAGGAAGGAAAGAAGGAAGGAAGGAAGGAAGGATGGAAGGATTGAAGGAAGGATTGAAGGAAGGATTGAAGGTTTGAAGGAAGGATTGAAGGAAGGATTATAAAGGAAGGATTGAAGGAAGGAAGGAAGGAAGGAAGGAAAGAAGGAAGGAAGGAAGGAAGGAAGGAAGGAAGGAAGGAAGGATTGAAGGAAGGATTAAAGGAAGGATTGAAGGAAGGAAGGATTAAAGGAAGGATTGAAGGAAGGAAGGAAGGAAGGAAGGAAGGAAGGAAAGAAGGAAGGAAGGAAGGAAGGATGGAAGGATTGAAGGAAGGATTGAAGGAAGGATTGAAGGTTTGAAGGAAGGAAGGAAGGATTGAAGGAAGGATTAAAGGAAGGATTGAAGGAAGGAAGGAAGGAAAGGAAGGAAAGAAGGAAGGAAGGAAGGAAGGAAGGAAGGAAGGAAGGATTGAAGGAAGGATTAAAGGAAGGATTGAAGGAAGGAAGGATTAAAGGAAGGAGTGAAGGAAGGAAGGAAGGAAGGAAAGAAGGAAGGAGGGAGGAAACTCATCCACAAAGTATATATATAAACCTCGTTCAACCTCTGATAAATATACACTGATATACACTAATATACTAATATACACTGAGCTTAAAATGAAGAGGAAAAATTATATAAACTGACGAAAATTTATATATATTTGCAGCTTTTAAGGTGACGATGTAAGGAATGTATATAACACGTGACAAATTTGGAATAATGTGTATATAAGCTTGAATTTGGATGAATGTGTATGCGAACTTGAATTAGATGAATGTTTTTACAAACAGACGAATTTGGATGAATGTGTATAAAGAAAGAAAAATTTTCATGAATATGTATTAAAAACGAATTTGCATGTCTTTACATGCTACATGATGAATGTAGATGAATGTATATACAGCAAGATAAAGGATTATATCAGTATATAAATTTGTAAGAATATTTTAACATTAATGTTAACATTATAAAATGTATATTCGTATATTTTTATTTATCAATATGAATGTTTATGATATATATATATATATATATATATATATATATTATATATATATATATATATATATATATATATATATATATATATATATATGTATATACCTTAGGATGCATGTAGAAAAATGTATATTCCACTATAACTGGGTCAAAGGTATATAATACAGAGATGTTGATGAATAAGACACATGTGCAACACCCGGGTAATAACAGTAGTAGTATTAATAATAATAATAATAATATTTATAATAATAATAATAATAATAATAATAATAATAATAATAATAATAATAATAATAATATATTTATAATAATAATAATAATAATAATAATAATAATAATAATAATAATAATAATAATAATAATAATAATAATAGCAGTAGTAGTAGTAGTAGTAGTAGTAATATTAGTAGTAGTAGTAGCAGTAGTAGTAGCAGCAGTAGCAGTAATAGTACTAGTATTAGTAGTAGTGGTAATGATAGTAGTTGTAACAGTAGTAGTATCAGCAGTAGTAGTAGTAGTATTAGTAACAGTAGCAGTAGTAGTAATAGTAGCAGTAGCAGTAATAGTACTAGTATTAGTAGTAGTAGTGGTAGTGGTGGTAGTAGTAGCAGTAGTAGTAACAGTAGTTGGTCGTGAAGGGGATATTGTAGGATGTAAAATCATTCACTACTCATTCATTTGAAGGTGGCTAGTCTCTTCACCAAATTACTAACTGAAGATGTTTTTGGTAGGCGAAAGTTCCCTCCCATGAAGACATCCAGGTGTGTCAAATGTGTCTCTCGGTAAATACACCCAGGGGTTGCACATGTGTCTCTAAGATACGCAGGTGTTGAACATGAAAGCTATGAGGATCTAAAATGAATGCTTAGAGTGGGAACTCTAAGTTCAGCACCAATAATCAATAATGCTTGCGGCATTACTTAACGGGTCCGCCATAGTGTCAGTGGTGCCACTGAATGGGTCCACTAACAGACCAGTACCACCACTGAGAGGCTGTGTTAACGCATACATCACACACCTCGCTGACTCTCTCTACCTTCAGCAACGTCACCTTGAGCTTAAACATATGTCTCATTATTAACATTTTCTACTTTTTCTTCAAGAGTTTCATCCTGACTTCGAAAAAAAAAAGAATTGTCTCGGTACGAATGCTTCGTTGATACCTTCTACTTGTATTCCTTGGAGACCGCAACTCTGAGTTCGATGGAAGGTCGAAAGTGATCTTCACTAGTGGCTTCTACTTCTCCTCCGTCAGGCTCACCACCTTGAATTCGAGAGGTCTCAACAATAGGCTCCTAGATCACCGCATTATGAGCTCGAATAAGTGGTCTCAATACGAGTATTTGGTTGAAACCTTCTCCTTGTCTTCCTCAGGAGCGCCACCATGTTTCCGAGAGGCGATCTCACACTCCAGGACGCTGCAGCGGGTGTAGTGGGTAGCGAGTTCGATAATCGTTGGGTAGATGGCAGGGCAGGTCGCTGGAGGAACTCTTGGCAGGGCTGCAAACACAACCCGGCAGGTGCTGACGGTACCTGAACCAGCGAGAGACAAGAAACTATTTTAATAAATTGAAAAAGAAACGAAATTCTATTACACTGCATGTATCAGGAATACAAAAGAGCATCGTCGAAGTTGTGTCCAGTAGAAGATCGATGTTTCTTACTGGACAGTTTCCAGCAAACTAACTTTTTCTATTGTGCTCTATCTTTTTATGTAGCTTCATTTATATATCTCAGTCTGTGTATATCTATACTTGAAACTCTATTAATATTAATGATTTAGAAAAATCGAAAACTTGCTGAATAAAACACATGTCCAAAAGTTGGGTATTTGTTTTTCTGAAGGAGGGAGAGAACGTTCCGCCAGTTAGTGGTCTTATCAGTCCAATACAGAGAGAAACAATGGAGATGTGAAGACGGAGGTTGAGGTGATCAGTCCCTCAACTCGAGGCCAAGGGACTGATTACCTCAAAGTCCCACTTCACATCAACCGTTTCTCTCTGTATTCTACATCTCTTCATCACTCTTCTCATTTTCCTACCTACTTGCTTGACTCGCCTATTGTATTTTGTGCTTTCCGCTCTCTCCTGCCTTTCCCACCCGTCCCTTTCTCACCCATCCTATTATTTCTCCTCTCTATCTAATCATGCCTCGTCTCTTAACCCTCTCATCATCCCCTGGTCCCTATCCCTTACGTTGGTTTGTAGACTATTCGCTTCATCCTCCACTCCTGGCGCGGAGGGGCGCTTTTGTTGCCACGGCGGACGTTGAAATAACCGTAAACAAGCGGGTTTACGGTAGAGTTGGCCACGGCAAAGATGAAGAGGGAAGCTTGAACTCTGGGGTCCACCAGCTGTGCACTTTCCCTGTCGATGAAGTACCTAACGGGGGAGGTAGAGGGAGAAAATGAGGGAGGGTAAGTGAAGGTATACAGTCCATCCACTAAGGACAGCTGGAGAACCAGCTGGATAATATTGTGCCAGATGGATAATACAATCCACATCCAAATTAACCTGTTTTATAAGTTAACCTATTTTACATTACCCACACAGCCGAATAGAGTGATAGAGAGATTATAGGGTAAGAGTGAGACAAAGAATTATGGACACAGATAAAAGAGAAGAGCGAGGTAGGGTAAGGAGATTGCTAGGTTGTGTTGTGGAAGGTCGAAAGAGATTGAGAGATAGAGAGAAGGGGAGATAAGAAGGGGAGATAAGAAGGGGAGATAAGAAGAGTCAAATATTCTTTAAGGTTGATGAGAGAGGATGATGATGATGATGATGATGATAATAATAATAATAATAATAATAATAATAATAATAATAATAATAATAATAATAATAATAATAATAATAATAATAAGAGTGCTGTTGTTGGTTTAAATGTTACATGCAAGCTATGCAAGGAGAGCAGTATTATACATGTATATACATTTATATGCGCTTAGACATTTGTATACCTTCATATATACATATATAATGAAAGGAAGAAGAAAGATTAAAATAGACAAAGAAACGAGGAGGGAAAATGGAAACTGATAAAGAAAGCGTGAAGAAGGAGACGGGGAAAGAGAGGAAGAAGGAAGATCAAGATAGATAACGAAAGAATGGGGTGTTGGGGGGTAGGGGTAACTTAAGATAACAATTCTCATTCTAGAAATGAACTTAGATAGGATAAAGAGTTCATAGCCTGCAGATGACCTGATGTAGGATGGCAGGTCTTACCCTGCACATGACCTGAGGTAGGATGGCAGGTCTTACCCTGCACATGACCTGAGGTAGGATGGCAGGTCTTACCCTGCACATGACCTGAGGTAGGATGGCAGGTCTTACCCTGCAGATGACCTGAGGTAGGATGGCAGGTCTTACCCTGCAGATGACCTGAGGTAGGATGGCAGGTCTTACCCTGCAGATGACCTGAGGTAGGATGGCAGGTCTTACCCTGCAGATGACCTGAGGTAGGATGGCAGGTCTTACCCTGCAGATGACCTGAGGTAGGATGGAAGGTCTTACCCTGCAGATGACCTGAGGTAGGATGACAGGTCTTACCCGGCAAATTCAACGCTCTAAAAAATATATATTACCCCAGCAATGTGTTTAGGAAAATGGCTCGACATGACAAGAATTACATCCTCCTTAAAGCCTTTTTTTTTCTCCAGAGGTTCCAGTTTTCTCAGACATTCTCAAGGAATTATGACGGGGATTCCTAAGTTCCACTCTTTTCCCCCTGAGCAGTGTAGTGTTTTTAACTTAATACTCGTTTGTTGCGACCTCAGAAAAAAGGAAGCGATAAATATTATGTATATATTTTTCATATGATTTTATAGTACTGAGTTTTTCGTTAATAGCTAAAATGATAATTTCATGATTTATATTATTATCTGACTTATTAGTTTATGTACGTAAGCAGGATGTAACAGCTACACTTTTTTACTATGCTTACGCTGCTAACTCCCTGCTTGCTTGTTGTGCAGTTCATGTCAGGCTTCAGCTGGTACAAGTACTCAATACTGGATCTGCCGGCCCTGTTTCTCTCTCTCTCTCTCTCTCTCTCTCTCTCTCTCTCTCTCTCTCTCTCGCTGTTCCTCATGGAGGAAACACCTCCAGTTCTGTTCTGTCCGGCAGAACACTGTTCTCTTCAGGTCATGTTACTTAGACTCTGTTTTTGGTAATGTCTCTTTTGGTGGGCTGGGACAAACATCTCGTATCCTGACGTTGTGCAATTCATTGCTGCTTCGAGCAGTATTGCTGTTTGTTCAAGCAAGCTGTTTGATTGTCTCGGTGTTCCAGAAATTACCTAATTTAGAGACTTGTTGTCAGTCACATTCTAAGTCGAGTCGAGTCTTACTGAGCCCATACTGGTCACACACAAACACACACTGTGGTATGCTACGAGTATGTTACATTTTATTCAGCGTATGTCACATTCCCATATAGGCTGCCTCCCGACCAGTGAACCAGGTGCTAAGGATTAAACGATCAATAGGGTACTCGACGTTAAATCAGTATCTTGGTTCATTGGCCAATCACAGACAAGTCCGGCAAAGCTGAAGCAACGTTGTTCACTTGTACCAAGCGAACTGACAGACTTGTCTGGGCTGCTGGTTGAGCGCGGTGCATTCTCTGGCTTCTGCTTTTGCCATCTATTGAGAAGCAATATAATTTACGGGATAACTAGACTAGAATACACTCTGACAAACTGTTAAAACAACAGAGACAGGCTAGATGCTAGAGGAGGATCAATAAGCTGACCGGCCGCGGGGGCGTTGACCCCCGGAACTCTCTCCAGGTAAGCTCCAGGTATTATTTTCTGGAGATATCTTCACTCAATATATGTCGCATTCTGTAACATCGTTTTTCTAAGCAATTCTCGAGGAACTATCACGGGGATTCCGAAGTTTCACTCATTTTCCACCGAGTAGTGTAGTTTTGAACTTAATACTCGTGTAGTGGATATAATTTGGTTTAACAAGACATCCATCAGTACGCAGGCCCTGTAGTGTATGGAAGCAGATTGTATTGAGGCTTAATGATGGGTCGTGAGAAAAGCGAAATGTGTTTACTTTCTAGATTTGTAATTATTAATTGTTACAGTTACGGTATTGTGATTTTTTTTTAATTGGTCTATCGAATTTACAGGCTAAAAGCTGTAGACCTCAACTCATTTACAGGCTAAGAACTGTTATCCTACCTCAACTCATTTACAGGCTAAGAACTGTTATCCTACCTCAACTCATTTACAGGCTAAGAACTGTTATCCTACCTCAACTCATTTACAGGCTAAGAACTGTTATCCTACCTCAACCCATTTACAGGCTAAGCGCTGTTATCATATCTCGACTCATTTCAAAATTCAGTCCTTACTAAGGTATTCTGCCACACATTCCTCTCCCCTTCACCAGGATGTCAGCCCCAATAGTCCACTAAAACCCAGATGCTTGTTTACTGCTGGGTGAACAGTGGCAGCAGGTGCAAGAGAATTGACAATCCATCTCCACCGTCCCTGACTGCACCGAGTCTTTAGCAGTTTTCTGCTCTACCGCTTTTATTAAATCTTGGCACTGTATATAATGCATATGCATAAATTTCTTTTTTGAATAATCTCACGATAGAACATGATACTATATCAACACCCTACTCATCACTAATATGTACAAATCATATACTATCACCATCATCAATCATAATCACTACATCATCACTACATCATATACATCATCAACCCTGATCACTAACCATCATCACTACATCATCACTACCATCATCATACTTAATCATACTACCATCATCATAAAATAACATTCCATCATATCCATCATCACTACCATGCATCACTACATCAGTCACTCCACCGATCACTACCATCATCACTACCATCACTACTCCATCATCACTACATCATCACTACCATCATCACTACCATCTTTCACTACCATCATTCACTACCATATCATCAATACCACTAATCATACCATCTTCACTACCATCATAATACCATCATCACTACAAATCATAACTACCACATATAAACTACCATCATCACTACAGTCATCAGTACCATCAATCCATCATCATACATCATCACAAATCATCACTACACAATCATACTAATTCACTACCATCATCACTACCATCATAAACTACAATCATCACTAACCACCAAATCTACTACCATCATCACTACCATCATCACTACCTATCATCACTACCATCATCACTACACATCATCACTACCATCATCACTACCATCTTCACTACACATCACTACATAAATCACTACCATCATCACTACCATCATCACACCATCATCACTACCATCATCAACTACCATCATCACTCCATCACACTACCACCATCACTACCATCATCACTACACCATCAACTCACTACACCATCACTACCATCATCATACATCATCACTACATCATCACTACCATCATCACTACCATCATCACTACCACAATCACTACCATCATCACAAACCATCATCACTACCATCATCACTACCATCATCACTAACCATCATCACTACCATCATTCATGACCATCATCACTACCATCATCACTACCATCATCACTACCATCATCACTACCTCATCACTACCATATCATCCATCATCATAACCATCATCACTACACCATCATCACTACCATCACACTACCATCATCACTCCCATCATCACTACCATCATCCCCCTACCATCATCACTACCATCATCACTACCATCATCACTACCATCATCACTACCATCATCACTACCATCATCCATCATCCTACCACCATCACTACCATCATCACTACCACCCCCATCACTACCATCATCACTACCATCATCACTACCACCATCACTACCATCATCACTACCATCATCACTACCATCATCACTACCATCATCACTACCATCATCACTACCACCATCACTACCATCATCACTACCATCATCACTACCATCATCACTACCATCATCACTACCATCATCACTACCATCATCACTACCATCATCACTACCATCATCACTACCATCATCACTACCATCATCACTACCATCATCACTACCACCATCACTACCACATCAATCACTACCATCATCACTACCATCATCACTACCATCATCACTACCACCATCACTACCATCATCACTACCATCATCACTACCATCATCACTACCATCATCACTACCATCATCACTACCATCATCACTACCACCATCACTACCATCATCACTACCATCATCACTACCATCAACCCACTACCACCACCCACTACCATCCTCACTACCATCATCTCACACCACCACCCGCAAACCATCATCACTACCATCATCACTACCATCATCACTACCATCATCACTACCATCATCACTACCATCATCACTACCATCATCACTACCACCACTACCACCACCATCACTACCACCACCATCCCTTCCACCACCATCACTACCACCACCATCCCTTCCACCACCATCACTACCACCACTATCACTATCATCACCACCACCATCACTATCACTACCACCACCACCAGCGTGTGTCAGACGAGGTGCCATAATTCAGGCACTTCACTCAGGCTGCCATTGAACCTTGACTCTCCTGGGAATGTTACCTGCCTGTCTAACATGGAGGTTGTATTTTGTTTAATCTCACTCTCCCTCCCTCTCTCTCTCTCTCCTCTCTCTCTCTCTCTCTCTCTCTCTCTCTCTCTCTCTCTCTCTCTCTCTCTCTCTCTCTCACTGAAACAAAGAAGTGTGGTACTGTCATGTCTCCGAGCGAGAGAAATGATAAACAGTGACTGCTGACACCCTATGAAATATCTTGTATGTCGCAATCTTGTCTCCCCTGATTCACCGTTCTCTCAGCTTCTGGGGTGCAACTCCTTCAGCTCTTTAAATCTTTTAGTAAGTCTTAATTTGTGGATTTTGTTATTCGACTGTACCGAATCACACACAAAACACACACACACACACACACACACACACACACACACACACACACACACACACACACACACACACACACACACTCCACAGCGATGTAGTGGAGGCAGGATCCATACATAGCTTTAAGCAGAGGTATGATAAAGCTCACGGTTCACGGAGAGTGACCTACTAGCGACCAGTGAAGAGGCGGGGCCAGGAGCTAGGACTCGACCCCTGTAACCTCAACTAGGTGAGTACAACTAGGTGAGTACACACACACACACACACATATATTCTTCTTCCTTCTTTCTTTCAACAAACCGGCCGTATCCCACCGAGGCAGGGTGGCCCAAAAAGAAAAACAAAAGTTGCTCTTTTCAAATTTAGTAATTTATACGGGAGAAGGGGTTACTAGCCCCTTGCTCCCGGCATTTTAGTCGCCTCTTACAACACGCATGGCTTACGGAGGAAGAATTCTGTTCCACTTCCCCATGGAGATAAGAGGAAATAAACAAGAACAAGAACTAGGAAGAAAATAGAAGAAAACCCAGAGGGGTGTGTATATATATGCTTGTACATGTATGTGTAGTGTGACCTAAGTGTAAGTAGAAGTAGCAAGACGTACCTGAAATCTTGCATGTTTATGAGACAGACAAAAGACACCAGCAATCCTACCATCATGTAAAACAATTACAGGCTTTCGTTTTACACTCACTTGGCAGGACGGTAGTACCTCCCTGGGTGGTTGCTGTCTACCAACCTACTACCTAGAACACACACACACACACACACACACACACCACTCACACACACACACACACACACACACACACACACACACACACACACACACACACCACACACACACACACACACAACACACACACAACACACCACACACACACACATATATTATATATATATATATATATATATATATATAATATATATATATGTCGTGCAGAATAGGCAGAACTTGCGATCTTGGCTTAAATAGCAACGTTCATCTTGCCATATAGGACAAGCGAAAATTTGTGTATGCAATAATTTCGCCAAAATCATTCTGAACCTAACGAAAAAAAGTATATTTCACTGTGTTTGTTTAGTATTAAATTATTGTAAACAAATCTAAAATATACACAAATAACCCGCACATAAAAGAGAGAAGCTTACGACGACGTTTCGGTCCGACTTGGACCATTGACAAAGTCACACTAACCAGAAGTGGAGCAGGACGGCTATATATAGGCAGGAAGAGGTGGTGGTAGTAGTAGTAGTAGTAGTAGTAGTACAAGAATGGTATATAATACCGACAAGATGAAATTAAGACACATGCGCAACACCCGGGCATCCCTATCGTAGACGTTTCGCCAGCCAGCCAGCCACTGGATGGCGAAACGTCCACAACAAAGACAACCAGACGCCGCACATGTGTCTTAATTTCATCAATGGTCCAAATCGGACCGAAACGTCGTCGTATGCTTCTCTCTTTTATGTGCGGGTTATTTGTGTATCGTTCCAGTCACGGTATTGTGCATTTTTTGTTATTTGTAAATCTAAAATATATTTAGTTTGGTTAGGCTAAAATAAATTGTTCTTGTTATAATAAGGTTAGGTAAGTTTTCTAAGATTCTTTTGGAGCAAAATTAAAATTTTTTACATTAATATTAATGAAAAAAGTATATATTTAAACGTATAAGAGAAAATTTTAGAAAGGTCTTAATTTTAAATGAGTTCTTGCTAATTGACCAGTTTTACATACTCGGCACAACATATATATATAATATATATATATAAATATATATATATATAATATATATATATATATATACATAAGATGCAGAGGTTGGTGGAAGAGTTTGGTAGGGTATGCCAACGAAGAAAATTAAAAGTGAATATAGGAAAGTGTAAAATGATGAGGATACCAAAATAAATTAGGTAACGAAAGATTGGACATTAGATTGGAGGGAGAGAGTATGGAGTAGGTGAATGTATTCAGATATTTGGGAGTGGACGTGTCAGTGATGGGTCTATGAAAGATGAGGTGAATCATAGAATTGATGAGGGGAAAAAGGTGAGTGGTGCACTGAGGAGTCTGTGGAGATAAAGAACTTTATCCATGGAAGCAAAGAGGGGAATTTATAAGAGTATAGTTATACCAACGCTCTTAGGTGGGTGAGAAGCATGGGTGGGGAATGTTGCAACGAGGAGAAGGCTGGAGGTAGTGGAGATGTCATGTCTGAGGGCAATGTATGGTGTGAATAATGCAGAGAATTCTTGGTTTGAAATTGGGAGAAGGTACAGGATTACCAAAACTATTATCCAGAGGGCTGAGGAAGGGTTGCGGTGGTTCGGACACGTAGAGAGGATGGAACAAAATAGGATGACTTCGAGGGTGTATAAATCTGTAATAGAGGGAAGGTGGGTTAGGGGTCAGTCTAAGAAAAGTTGGAGGGAGGGGGTAAAGGAGGTTTTGTGTGCGAGTGTGAGGGGCTTGGACTTCCAGCAAGCATGCGTGAGCGTGTTAGATAGGAGCGAATGGAGACAAATGGCTTCTAGGACTTGACGTGCTGTTGGAGTGTGAGCAAGGCAACATTTATGAAGGGATTCAGGGAAACCGGCAGGTTGAACTTGAGTCCTGGAGATGAGAAGTACAGTGTCTGCACTCTGAAGGACGGGTGTTAATGTTGCAGTTTTATAATTGTAGTGTGAGCGCACCTCTGGCAAGACAGTGATGGAGTGAATGATGGTGAAAGTTTTTCTTCTCCGAGCCGCCCTGCCTTGATGGGGAAACAGCCGATATGACTGAGGGCTGTACGTGGGTGATGTATGCTCGAGGGTCTGGCTTATGTGTGTGTGTGTGTATGTATTCAATCATTTGTGTTTGCATGGGACAATTCATAGCTCCTGGTCCCGTATATGTGTGTGTGTTGAACATTATCTCTTGTCCCCAGCATCTTAACTATCTCCAAAATTACTCGAATTTTTTTTGTCCTATCAGCATTTCAGTACCTCAAATTCTCCCTCCTCCTCCTCCTCCTCCTACTCCTCCTCCTCCTCCTCCTACTCCTCCTCCTCCTCCTCCTCCTCCCTTCTTCCTCTTCTTTCTCTTCCTCCTCCTCCTCCTTTTCCTCCTCCTCCCCCTCTTCCTCATCATCATACTTCAGATATTGGAAAGACGGGTGTTTACGGACTCACAATACAAATATTTACCTGTGTTCTGCCTCACTTGTTACCTGTGTAGTGTTTTGAAATGTTGTCTTTATCTCGTGTTCTGCCCATCAGTATGTCTCAATTAATATCTAAATTATAATACCTATGTCTAAATTATTATACCTATTTCTAAATTATCATATCTATTTTTAAATTATCATACCTATGTTTATATTATCATACTTATTTCTAAATTATGATACCTATGTCTAAATAATCATACCTGTGTCTAAATTATCATACCTATGTGAGAATTATCTTACCTATGTCAGAATTATCTTACCATATGGCAGAATTATCATCACTGACTTAATAACAATATATATTGTTATTAATATTTCTTAACTAACCAAGCACAACACAAACACACACACACACACACACACACACACACACCACACACACACACACACCACACACACACAACCCCACACACGTAAAGAAACTAGAGAAAGTGTAAAGGTTTGCAACAAGACTAGTCCCAGAGCTAAGAGGTATCTCCTACGAGGAGAGGTTAAGGGAAATCAACCTGACGACGCTGGAGGACAGGAGAGATAGGGGGGACATGATAACGACATACAAAATACTGAGAGGAATTGACAAGGTGGACAAAGACAGGATGTTCCAGAGATGGGACACAGCAACAAGGGGACACAGTTGGAAGTTGAAGACACAGATGAATCACAGGGATGTTAGGAAGTATTTCTTCAGCCACAGAGTAGTCAGGAAGTGAAATAGTTTGGGAAGCGATGTAGTGGAGGCAGGATCCTTACATAGCTTTAAGCAGAGGTATGATAAAGCTCACGACCAGTGAAGAGGCAGGGCCAGGAGCTTGGACTCGACCCCTGCAACCTCAACTAGATGAATACACACACCCCTCCCCAACATACTCACCAGAGACTCATAATATTATAAGGAGTCCAACATAGGAAGAAAACAGTGACTATAATAAGAGTCATGTGTAAAGTCCTAGTCTTGGTACGACCCAGGGAAGGTCCGGTCGTCCTGTCCTCCACTCCGCCTCCCTCACGGAGACACCCTGCAACACACGTGTAAACAAGAGTCAGTTAAGCTGTTGTTAATCGTGCAGTTGTTTACCGTCCCTCTGAAAGATAATACCTAATGGTTAATAAAAGTAAATAATACTTATAATAACTGTAGTACTGGTAGTCATGATAACTGTAGTACTAGTAGTCATGATAACTGTGGTACTGGTAGTCATGATAACTGTAGTACTGGCAGTCATGATAACTGTAGTACTGGTAGTCATGATAACTGTAGTACTGTAGTCATGATAACTGTAGTACTGGCAGTCATGATAACTGTAGTACTGGTAGTCATGATAACTGTAGTACTGGTAGTCATGATAACTGTAGTACTGGTAGTCATGATAACTGTAGTACTGGCAGTCATGATAACTGTAGTACTGGTAGTCATGATAACTGTAGTACTGGTAGTCATGATAACTGTAGTACTGGTAGTCATGATAACTGTAGTACTGGTAGTCATGATAACTGTAGTACTGTAGTCATGATACTGTGGTACTGGTAGTCATGATAACTGTAGTACTGTTAGTCATGATAACTGTAATACTGGTAGTCATGTAACTGTGTACTGGTAGTCATGATAACTGTGTACTGGTAGTCATGAAACTGTAGTACTGGTAGTCATGATAACTGTAGTACTGGTAGTCATGATAACTGTAGTACTGGTAGTCATGATAACTGTGGTACTGGTAGTCATGATAACTGTAGTACTGGCAGTCATGATAACTGTGGTACTGGTAGTCATGATAACTGTAGTACTGGCAGTCATGATAACTGTAGTACTGGTAGTCATGACAACTGTAGCACTGGTAGTCATGATAACTGTAGTACTGGTAGTCATGATAACTGTAGTACTGGCAGTCATGATAACTGTAGTACTGGTAGTCATGATAACTGTAGTACTGGTAGTCATGATAACTGTAGTACTGGTAGTCATGATAACTGTAGTACTGGCAGTCATGATAACTGTAGTACTGGTAGTCATGATAACTGTAGTACTGGTAGTCATGATAACTGTAGTACTGGTAGTCATGATAACTGTAGTACTGGTAGTCATGATAACTGTAGTACTGGTAGTCATGATAACTGTGGTACTGGTAGTCATGATAACTGTAGTACTGTTAGTCATGATAACTGTAGTACTGGTAGTCATGGTAACTGTGGTACTGGTAGTCATGATAGCTGTGGTACTGGTAGTCATGATAACTGTAGTACTGGTAGTCATGATAACTGTAGTACTGGTAGTCATGATAACTGTAGTACAGGTAGTCATGATAACTGTGGTACTGGTAGTCATGATAACTGTAGTACTGGCAGTCATGATAACTGTGGTACTGGTAGTCATGATAACTGTAGTACTGGCAGTCATGATAACTGTAGTACTGGTAGTCATGACAACTGTAGCACTGGTAGTCATGATAACTGTAGTACTGGTAGTCATGATAACTGTAGTACTGGTAGTCATGATAACTGTAGTACTGGTAATCATGATAACTGTAGTACTGGTAGACATGATAACTGTAGTACTGGTATTCATGATAACTGTAGTACTGGTAGTCATGATAACTGTAGTACTGGTAGTCATGATAACTGTGGTACTGGTAGTCATGATAACTGTAGTACTGGCAGTCATGATAACTGTGGTACTGGTAGTCATCATAACTGTAGTACTGGCAGTCATGATAACTGTAGTACTGGTAGTCATGACAACTGTAGTACTGGTAGGGGTGATAACTGTAGTACTGGTAGTCATGATAACTGTGGTACTGGTAGTCATGATAACTGTAGTACTGGCAGTCATGATAACTGTAGTACTGGTAGTCATGATAACTGTAGTACTGGTAGTCATGATAACTGTAGTACTGGTAGTCATGATAACTGTAGTACTGGTAGTCATGATAACTGTAGTACTGGTAGTCATGATAACTGTAGTACTGGTAGTGCATGACAACTGTAGTACTGGTAGTCATGATAACTGTAAGTACTGGTAGTCATGATAACTGTAGTACTGGTAGTCATGATAACTGTAGTACTGGTAGTCATGATAACTGTGGTACTGGTAGTCATGATAACTGTAGTACTGGTAGTCATGATAACTGTAGTACTGGTAGTCATGACAACTGTAGTACTGGTAGTCATGACAACTGTAGTACTGGTAGTCATGATAACTGTAGTGATGGTAGTCATGATAACTGTAGTACTGGTAGGGGTGATAACTGTAGTACTGGTAGTCATGATAACTGTAGTACTGGTAGTCTTGATAACTGTAGTACTGGTAGGGGTGATAACTGTAGTACTGGTAGGGATGATAACTGTAGTACTGGTAGTCATGATAACTGTAGTACTGGTAGTCATGATAACTGTAGTACTGGAAGTCATGATAACTGTAGTACTGGTAGTCATGATAACTGTAGTACTGGTAATCATGATAACTGTAGTACTTTTAATCATGATAACTGTAGTACTGGTAGTCATCATAACTGTAGTACTGGTAGTCATAATAACTGTAGTACTGGTAATCATGATAACTGTAGTACTTTTAATCATGACAACTGTAGTACTGGTAGTCATGATAACTGTAGTACTGGTAGTCATGACAACTGTAGTACTGGTAATCATGACAACTGTACTACTGGTACTCATGATAACTGTAGTACTGGTAATCATGACAACTGTAGTACTGGTAGTCATGATAACTGTGGTACTAGTAGTCATGACAAATGTAGTACTGGTAGTCATGATAGCTGTAGTACTGGTCATGACAACTGTAGTACTGGTAGTCATGACAACTGTAGTACTGGTAGTCATGACAACTGTAGTACTGGTAGTCATGATAACTGTAGTACTGGTAGTCATGACAACTGTAGTACTGGTAGTCATGACAACTGTAGTACTGGTAGTCATGACAACTGTAGTACTGGTAGTTATGATAACTGTGGTACTGGTAATCATGACAACTGTAGTACTGGTAGTCATGATAACTGTGGTACTAGTAGTCATGATAACTGTAGTACTGGTAGTCATGATAGCTGTAGTACTGGTAGTCATGACAACTGTAGTACTGGTAGTCATGATAACTGTAGTACTGGTAGTCATGACAACTGTAGTACTGGTAGTCATGACAACTGTAGTACTGGTAGTCATGACAACTGTAGTACTGGTACTCATGATAACTGTAGTACTGGTAGTCATGACAACTGTAGTACTGGTAGTCATGATAACTGTCGTACTGGTAGTCATGATAACTGTAGTACTGGTAATCATGATAACTGTAGTACTGGTAGTCATGACAACTGTAGTATTGGTAGTCATGACAACTGTAGTACTGGTAATCATGACAACTGTAGTACTGGTAGTCATGACAACTGTAGTACTGGTAATCATGACAACTGTAGTACTGGTAATCATGACAACTGTAGTACTGGTAATCATGACAACTGTAGTACTGGTAGTCATGATAACTGTAGTACTGGTAATCATGACAACTGTAGTACTGGTAATCATGACAACTGTAGTACTGGTAGTCATGATAACTGTAGTACTGGTAATCATGACAACTGTAGTACTGGTAATCATGACAACTGTAGTACTGGTAGTCATAATAACTTTAGTACTGGTAATCATGACAACTGTAGTACTGGCAGTCATGATAACTGTAGTACTGGTAGTCATGATAACTGTAGTACTGGTAGTCATGATAACTGTAGTACTGGTAATCATGACAACTGTAGTACTGGTAGTCATGATAACTGTAGTACTGGTAATCATGACAACTGTAGTACTGGTAGTCATGATAACTGTAGTACTGGTAGTCATGATAACTGTAGTACTGGTAGTCATGATTACTGTAGTACTGGTAATCATGACAACTGTAGTACTGGTAGTCATGATAACTGTAGTACTGGTAGTCATGATAACTGTAGTACTGGTAGTCATGACAACTGTAGTACTGGCAGTCATGATAACTGTAGTACTGGTAGTCATGATAACTGTAGTACTGGTAGTCATGATAACTGTAGTACTGGTAGTCATGATAACTGTAGTACTGGTAGTCATGATAACTGTAGTACTGGTAGTCATGATAACTGTAGTACTGGTAGTCATGATAACTGTAGTACTGGTAGTCATGATACTGTGGTACTGGTAGTCATGATAACTGTAGTACTGTTAGTCATGATAACTGTAATACTGGTAGTCATGGTAACTGTGGTACTGGTAGTCATGATAACTGTGGTACTGGTAGTCATGATAACTGTAGTACTGGTAGTCATGATAACTGTAGTACTGGTAGTCATGATAACTGTAGTACTGGTAGTCATGATAACTGTGGTACTGGTAGTCATGATAACTGTAGTACTGGAAGTCATGATAACTGTGGTACTGGTAGTCATGATAACTGTAGTACTGGCAGTCATGATAACTGTAGTACTGGTAGTCATGACAACTGTAGCACCGGTAGTCATGATAACTGTAGTACTGGTAGTCATGATAACTGTAGTACTGGCAGTCATGATAACTGTAGTACTGGTAGTCATGATAACTGTAGTACTGGTAGTCATGATAACTGTAGTACTGGTAGTCATGATAACTGTAGTACTGGCAGTCATGATAACTGTAGTACTGGTAGTCATGATAACTGTAGTACTGGTAGTCATGATAACTGTAGTACTGGTAGACATGATAACTGTAGTACTGGTAGTCATGATAACTGTAGTACTGGTAGTCATGATAACTGTAGTACTGGTAGTCATGATAACTGTAGTACTGGTAGTCATGATAACTGTATACTGGAAATCATGATACTGTAGTACTGGTAGTCATGATAACTGTAGTACTGGTAGTCATGATAACTGTAGTACTGGTAGTCATGATAACTGTAGTACTGGTAGTCATGATAACTGTAGTACTGGTATCATGATAACTGTAGTACTGGTAGTCATGATAACTGTAGTACTGGTAGTCATGATAACTGTAGTACTGGTAGTCATGATAACTGTAGTACTGGTAGTCATGATAACTGTAGTACTGGTAGTCATGATAACTGTAGTACTGGTAGTCATGATAACTGTAGTACTGGTAGTCATGATAACTGTAGTACTGGTAGGGGTGATAACTTACTGGAGATATTATTATCTCTGATATTGATTACTATTAGTAACTATAATATTGATTACTGTTATCATTATTAATCATGATATTAATTACTACTACTAACCATAAAATTTATCATTATTATTACTTGAAATAATAAATATAAAAAATACCACTTCGAATATTACAGAAAAAAAATTTAATGTAAGTTTAATTTTTATATGCAAAATATATATATATAGAGAGATATATAAATTTTTAAGAAAATTTGAAAAAAATATTGTCAAGTGCAAGGGGGAAAAAAGGGGGAAAAAGTATTTGAAAAAAAAAATATGGAAAAAGCTAGAAACTGGGGGAAAAAAGGCAAAAACTGGACAAAAAAGAGAGAAAACTGGGTCAGTGTTAGGATAATGAGAGAGAGAGAGAGAGAGAGGAGAGAGAGAGAGAGAGAGAGAGAGGGGAGAGAGAGAGAGAGAGAGAGAGAGAGAGAGAGAGAGAGAGAGAGAGAGAGAGAGAGAGAGAGAGAGAAAGAGAGAGAGAGAGAGAGAGAGAGAGAGAGTGAGAGAGAGAGAGAGAGAGAGAGAGAGAGAGAGAGAGAGAGAGAGAGAAGGATGGATACAAATAACGCTCATGAGAGTAAATAAATCTTTTAAACGTGAGAAGAAGAAAAAGAAGAAGAAGAAGAGGAAGAAGGGTGAAGGAGACTTGAAGAATCTTAACAGCAAATAAAATATTCTCCTCCTTCTTCTTCTTTCTTGTTCCTCTTTCTTTTTCTCTCCTTTATCTTCTTTTGCTTCTTGCTCATATTCTTTCTCACATTATTTCTCTTCTTCCCTTTCTAGACACATTCCAACCCCATCTAAATACATTCCAACCCCTGCTAGACCCTTTTCAACATCCCAAGTTATCTAGACACCCTAATGGTTAGAGTCTAACCCTTTCTAGACACATTCCAACATTTACTGACACATTCCAACTCTTGTAGACACATTTCCACACATTCTACACATTCCGACCCCTTCCACATACTTTCCTACTCTCTTAGACTCCCATCTCTCCTCTTTCAACTCCTCTCCTCCCACCATTCGACTCCCCACTCACACTTCTCACCCCTGGCCCACTCACCATCTTTCCTGTAGAGAACAATAACAATGGAGCCGTAGCAGAAGACGATGGTGAAGAGAGGGATGGCGTACATAGCCAGGAAACCAGCGACGTTGTATAGCAGTTCGTAGGTGGGCGTGGGAAAACTGTTGAAAGTGACACATTGCTCGAACCAGGGGTGGTCAGGGTGCCTCTCTACGTGGAAGATCACTGTCTGTAAGAGCAATCATTCACACGTTCAGATTCTGTGGTATTATTGTCTGTAAGAGCAATCATTCACACGTTCAGAGTTTGAGATGTACAT